TCCCCGGGTGTGCTCCACTTCAGCTCCTCGGAGCGTTTGGTAAGGCCCTCGGTCTTACAGGTGGGACCTGGAAAGTCACTCCCAGAGGCTGGCATGTGTTCACACGTGCCAAGGGAGGGCACAGAGCATGTGTGGCCTCGGTTGGAGCCGACCACTCCTCCGGGTTTCCCAGCAGGTTCTGGGTCTGGTGAAGGCTGAGCTGGAGGAAGCAGGGTGACTCAGGTGACTGTCACCTGAGAAATGGTCACCTCCCCTCCCCTCCCTTCCCCGGCCGCCCGGCCCCAGCCCGGCCCCTGAGAGTTCAACCCTGATCTGCTGGATTCCACGCCCCCGGGAGGGCTGGCTGTGCTTGCACGTCTGGATGCCCCTTGTCCCTTCCACAGCAGCCAGCTGCTGGGCACTTCCGAAAGCCCGGTGTTTCTCCAGCTCCACCGGGGATCAGGCGTGGGGGCCGGGGCGAACCAGTGAAGCCGAGCTGCTGCTCCTGTGGAATTTGGGTTCCGGTGTTAGCCGTGACCGTAAATAGGCAGCTCCTCCAAAGACGGGCGCGCGTCCCCGCAGGAGGTGGCCTGGACACAGGGCCCCAGGCGGCCCCGGGCTTTGGGTCAGGCAGCTGGGTACCCCAGAAGCTGTGCCATCTGCGAGCGCCCCGATTTCAGTTTGCGTCTGTTTATGGTGAAGACTGGAAGGTGGAAGCTGTTCCAGATTGGGGGGTGATTCATAAAACCAGGCCCGCACTACGCTGCAGTTGCACAGCGCTGATAGGACAGGGTTGAGAAGAGGTGCAGGTGAGGACTACGGCAGGGCTTCTAGCCTCTGGTCAGGCGCGGTCGGGGGCCAAGGAGAACCGTGTGTGCCTCACGCCGCATTTCTCTCCGCTCCCAGGGTGCCACCCGTTCTGGCCACCACGTCCTCTCGTCACACCCTAACGGCTCCACCTTCCCCTCCTGAGCACTTGCTGGAGTTCAGAGGTGACCCCAAAGCTCAGGGAGCCGGAACTTAACCCCAACAGTGGCCGTGTGGGGCGGAGGGGCCGGTGGGATGAGTGCAAGTTTATCTCCCTACCTCCCGTTTGCTCGCTCCTCCCCTCCCCCTCTCCCCCTCTCTCCAGATTCCTGCTCTCTGCGCCGTGGGGTGGGCAGCACAAGGGCTGTGCCCAGATGCGGGTCCCTCGACCTGGGGCTCACCAGTTTCCTGGAAGAAATAAGTCTCATTACGGAAGAAATAAGTCTCACTGTTGGACCGGAAGAAGGGGTCAGGGTGTACGGGTAGATGGTG